AGGAGTTTGAGGCTGCAGTGAGCTATGATGATGCCACTGCACTCTAGCCCAGGGCAATAAAACAAGACTCTGTCTTGGGGGTAAAAAAAAAAAAAATCTAAGATGTAGTGATACATTAGGAAAAAAAAAGGACTTCCTGTAACAACCCTACAATGTAGCCAAATTTTAGTAAACTAACTCGCAGTTATAAATTAGACATAAGCCTTAATGACAAGACGGTTGCCCGGCACTGCAGAGTGTGAGGCCGAAGCCGCACCCACCCTGCTCACGGTGTCTTTGACCGCCGGGACGGGCAGGCGAGGCAGCGAGGTCTGGAAGCTGTACAGCATGGGTTTCCGGCCTGAAAGGACTTTGACCATAACCTGAAAGAAAACAGTAACATTTTCAAAGATGAGAACATGTTAAAAAGCGCCAAAGACAATTCTCAAAATGTGCAACTTGCAACTGTTGACCGATTTTCTGTGGTGACTTATCATTCTCTGGTCCACTTTCTGCCCCTACACTTGCAGGCTCTAGCAAATAAACACTAAGCCCCCAGTAATAAAAACTGACTCAATAAAAGCCAAGTTTGAAAGAGGCTTTGAGGGGCCGCCACCCTGATGTCATTCCCCGGCCAGGGCCCTCCCTGGACCTGTGATGTCGCGGCCTGGCCGTCAGGTTGGCTCAAAGCTCCAGGAGCAGTGAGCAGAGTCTGGGCTGCGGGCCTGGTGCTGAGCCAACCCCAGCAGAAGTAACGCTGTCCCTTCTGTCATCATCTCACCTCCTGGCGAGCACATCTGTGGACCCTTGCTTTAGGGCAGGGGATTGAGACTTGTATGACAACTGTCACCTCATGTGACCGAAACAAAGGAATTCCTAGGGCGCCGGTGTGGGGAGGCCGCGAGTCCTTGTGTTAAAGAGGGCTGGGACTCAGCTGGACCTCAGCCGTGACTGCCACCCGAGGGAGCGTCATTTAACCTGCTCGGGGAAGTGTGGGAGACCATCCTGACTCTCTCCTAGGTGCTAAATTCTGCTTCTCTGGAAATCAGAAATCTCCTACCCGAACAACAGCAGGAAACTGGCTTGGGAGAGAGCAGAGCCCAGGTGTGTGGGGCACGGTGGTGACACGCACGCTTCTCCCACAGGCAGGCCCTGGAGGTCGGGGCAGCAGCCCAGCCCGGCCACAGCGGTGGCCACCGAGCGGCAGCTCAGCAGAAGGGCATGGCCAATGTCACGTGCGGACAGGTAACCAAGGCTGACACGCTCCTCCCACATACACTGATGAGCCCACAGAATCGCCCCAGCAGAGAAAAGGTTTAGAAGAAAATGTTCTCATTATGGCCAGGCTCACGGAGATCGTCTAGGCCTCTTCACAGAACATGTGTGGACAGCGCTTGGCCCCCAAGACTGAGGCTGGAAGTGCCCAGGGAAGCCTAAGGCCACAGCCCCAAATGGGCAGATGGCACCTATGGGGGCCCACACCCCACTTGGGGGCCTGCAGTTGTTTACAGGGGCCTGGGCCCCAAAGACGGAAGCCTCGAAAGTCCAGAGCTGATTCCCACCTTAGATGGTTTATCTTCAGAAAACCTGAGCTCATAAAATCGTTTAGATAGGGCCAGGTGCGGTGGCTCACACCTGTAATCCTAGCATTCTGGGAGGCAGAGGCAGGAGGATCGCTTGAGCCCAGGAGTCTGAGGCTGCTGTGAGCTAGGATGATGCCATTGCACTCTAGCCTGGGTGACAGAGCAAGACCCCATCACAAAACAACGCCAATAAAAACCAAAACATTTAAATAGTGAAATTTGGACAAACACCCACACACATGGCAAAGCCATTTACCTTAAACAAGGGACGCCTGGGCTACCAGCCACGGTGCTTTGGGGGAACACTCGAGTCTGGCCAGACAGGTCAGCTAAGGTAACCACCACTTAGTGCCCGACTATGAGTTAGTCAGAAAAGCTACCAAGAACCGGATGGACGGCCTTTATCTGGTGAGTGACCTGAACTATAAACCTAGGAGACCTTAACGTATAAATGCTGCAGAACTCACTAACGTCATCCAAGAACAACACTCTCTGGCTCACACTTCTGTGGCATGGCGACTCAAGCCTCTGCAGCGGTGAGAGGCTGAGACCCAAGTCACAAACCAAGTGCTAGCAGGCCCCTTCTTGCAAAGGCACCCACGTGGGCTGCACACCGAGGGGGGGTGCAGTTACCATCCAGATTCTGGTGGCGTGACTCATTTTCCCGTGTTCGGCGAACATCCAGCCGTGGTAGGAGAGCAGCACCTTCAGGGAGTAGCGCATGGTGGCGATGAGAGCCACCCAGAGGCCAGTGCTGAACAAGATGCCGCTGACAATGTTCTTCGTCTGGCTGGACAAGTAGCCACTGCAGAGACAAACCGGCACAAGTTGCGAAGGCGTCAGCGCGGAAAGGAGACAACACGGTGAGGGACAGCAGCCCCCAGGCAGAGTCGGGGGGGTCAGAGAGGGGCACCCGCAGGGACCTGGCTCCCAAAGACTCACGGCGCTTTCCTTCTCGCCTCAAAAAGCACCAGCCCCCTCTGCTCCGACGGGCCTCAAAATAAACCCAGGCTAACAGTGCCTTCTGCAAAAACTCGCAACTTCCTCCAAGGTCCCAGGACTAATGGCAGAGGGGACGTGGAGGCCGGCACTCCCACAGATCCGGCGCCATTTTCTTTGGCTCTTTGTGATTTTTTTTCCCATCAGACATACTCTAGGATTTTGCCAGTAGTCATAATCTCAAACTATTTGTCACAACTATCGCCTCAAGTTTTTATATCAAAGAGCTTGTCTGTGACCTAGACAGGAATATTTATCACAAATAAAGAAACAAATCATATAAAATGATCGTGTAAACGGTAAGCTTAAATACAGAAGCTGTTTTCACTTGGGAAGGGAAGTGGTCTATTTTATGGCAAAGATGGGACTTTAAAAATGAGACAGGCCAGGCGCAGTGGCGCACGTCTGTAACCCCAGCACTCTGGGAGGCCGAGGCGGGAGGATCGCTTGAGCCCAGGAGTTTGAGGCTGCCGTGAGCTACGATGACGCCACTGCACTCCAGCCCAGGTGACAGGGCAAGACTCTGTTTCAAAAAAAAAAAAAAAATTGAGTGCAAAGCTCTCTTTGAGAGAATGTGCTCCTTACAAGGCAGCGGGAGCTGGACAGGTGCAGGGGGGGCAAACCCCGCACGAGATGTGTGACTTTACTTCGAAAGCGGCAGCCTGGGGACACAGAGGTCCTCTCCAGAACCAAAACTTCGGCCCTTAACCTGGAACCTGGTCTTTCTAAACTCAGGCTGGGGATGGCCCAGTTTACCAAAATAGGTTTAAGAGGGATGAAGAGACAAATCTTACAAAGACCCAGATTACAAAGGGCTTTAAAAGCCAACACTTCTAAATATAAGCCAGGCTCAGGAGACACCCAACGCCGGACAGTCCACTAAGAAGAGCCTTCGCCGACCCCGTGGCAGAGTGAAAGCGTGCAGGGAGAGCCGCACACGCGCCAGACAGGGCAGCTGTCCACCGCGGCCCGCGGACAGGAGCACCCAGGTCTGCCAGCTGCTTGCTGAGTGACAGGAGTGACAGGAGTCCCCCGCCGTGGCTTCCCCGGTCCCCAGGCGGACGAGGAACCTGGCAGGCATCCAGGCCTCCCACGCTTCCACTAAAATGACGGGGACTTTTATTCTGTCTCTCGCAGACGCTTATAAATGCATGAGCCAGTGTTCTCGTGCCAGCGCAGGCTGTGAGCAACCCGGCTGGCCTCTCGGTGACTCCTGAGTGTCCGGGGCTTCCTGAATAAGGAACAGGGGGTGGGGGTCTCCTCTGCAGACCACTCGCAAAACAAGTGCGGGAGCCAGGGCAGCTACTCAAGCCGCCCCGAGAATGTTCAAACCATTAAGTTGCATCTGCTTAGTCCTTGATTTCCAGTCATCAGAAATCCAGCTGTTAGGTGTGAGTGCGTCATTTATGTCACGTTTCTGTCAGTTTACTTTCTTACTCCTTTCGGAGAGGACAGTGTTTACATGCAAACAGCAGGAAGGCACGATCATAAGATCCAGAGTGTCCCCTGTGTAGCGCAGCCCTGACCCCACATGGTACCGTCCACCGGCAACTCCTGGCCCGAAAGACAAAGCCCAGGGGCGGGAGCAGGACTTGGCGGTCACCACTCCTCCAGGCCCTCGGTGTTCACCCGTGTAAACAAACAACACAGAACTCGAATCCAATGTCTGGCATGGGA